CTGTTAGTCACATCGTGCTTGTCTCTGTTACAGCCGTCTTTCGCTGGCCAGGGTAAGCTTTCCGATCGACACTTGTTAGCCAATGTATTTGTGATACGGTCTAGCGAACTGGGTACCCACGACAACTATATTCATTGCAAAACCCATCTTGGTCACCAGCTACACGAGGGCGATGCTGTGCTTGGTTTTGATTTACGCAACGCCAATATTAATGATGCCCACTTTAACAAGATGTCTCCGGATAAGGTATGTTTTTTTTATTTAAAGCGGAATATGATGTATAGTATACTACATGAAGATGTTCCAGTTGCCTATCAAGCCACTGATTAGAAAGGTTATAAATAATAAATAAATGTTAATTGGTCATTTTGTTCTAAGTCATTTACTAAGTTTATGTCGTGTTTACTTACTCGGCATCACCAAGCGACTCTTTAAGACTATATTTTGCCTATATTCGGTAGAATATGGTTCACAAGAGTAGTAAACGGCTATATAAGACCACGTTGTCTTTGAGAGCATTAAAAAATATGTGTAAACAAAACGCATGTGTCCTCTACAAGTTGTTGGTAGAAAGAAACTTAATAATATATACGTGTTGAATCTATAAAACATGTATTGTGTTTTATAAATGAAAAGGAAGCCTAACAGGCAGCCTTCACAAACATACCTGTTGTTGAATTTATTGACGTTGTTGGTACTTATATTCAATTTGAAATACGGCGTATTAATCATCAGATTCCGGAGGTAGTACTGATTAAGAAGTTCTGGGGAACAAAAGCTGACCGTGCGCAGCGCCGCCGCTGGAGGTTGAAGCGACTCAGCTTGGAGTTGGATGATGGATCGTCGGTTGGCCGCGATTTCAACGACTTCTGTGAAGACCTCGAGGAGGATCTGGCGTTCCGGCAGAACGTGAATATATACAAGGATGTCGATAAAAAGGCTGTTGTGAGTGAGACTGAAGACATGCCTCAAATTAGCCTTCACGAAATGCTTGATGACCTAACACTTGAAGATGAACCAATGGATGAAGCGCCTGCGGAAGATGGTAACTCTGGCCAAGCAATGGCTTAGTGAGAAAAAACTAAGTCCTGAAATGTTGTTATCGTGAGACCGTTCCTTAGTAGATCAATAAATACACTGTTGTTGTATTTTCAAGCACTGATTCGTGAACTATATAGCTGATTTAGTCAATTATATCAGCAAGCATGGAGGTGTTGTTCCATGGTATTAATTTCTATTTTATAATCAAAAAACGTGCGTTCGTCATTATGTGAGTGGCTTTTAAGCTATGCAGAAGTACCCGGTGACCCTAACTGGGATTAAAAAGAATGTCGCAACATGGTTCGTTCGCTCCAACCTCGTTTCGCTCCTTTTACTATCGCGATGACAAGGACTATCTTTATAATCAAGGAGATATGAACGATCACGCTTTATGTAATAAATGAAGGTTTAAGTATTGACAAATTGACTACTAACTAACTACTTTGAGAATTTTTATTTAAAATAAGCAGAACGTATACGTCTGGTGATAAATACCACCAGGAGAGTGGTAGGGGCCATATTTACTAACATATACATCTAAATAACAACAATTTGTTCTAGAATTGCGGGCTAAATGATAGAGCTCTTTATTTATTTATTAGCCAAAAAACTGCTTTTTTTTGGCTCACAAAGGTTTCGGCGTATGAGGGTCATATTATTATAATCATTTATATATATCGTCGCCGGTACTAAGCTGATGGTGATCAACCAATATTTACCAGGTCCTTGTACCTCGTTTCGCACTTGTCTGCTTAATTGTCAATAGATCTTAATACATCAGCCGGATGACTTCACTCACTCAGCTAAAAATTCTCATTTATCAATAATTCACTTTGGCTGTTGCACGCCTTTGGCCATATGGCTACAGGTTTTTCCTTCGCCGTGCGTTCATGCAATCTCTTCTTCATCGCCTTTACAGTTAAACCTTCGGTACATACGTTACACTACTTTTGTGTTTTATATTTTCTTTTTTTTTTCATAGTAATTTTCGCTGCATCATAATCTTTCTATAATTCGTTTTCACAGGCCACGGTTATTCCTAAGACCCAATGCACCTGTTCCAATGTTACTGTGTGCCCTACTATTTCTCGAAGGGTTTAGTAGACACAGTTCTTCATTTCGACTTCATTAATCGACGTTGTTGCCTAAAAAATTGCGTCCCGTTTCTGGTATAGGCAGGCTCACACGCACCCAGGCGTGAACTGAGACTTCCGTATTTTTCTTCTCGGTTAAATCATTTTTTCACTTTGTTTTCTGAGCTTGCTCTGACTTTTCGGTACCATTTTATATTCTTGTGTCGTTGTTATTGTCTAAAATAGCAATGTCGTCTTCCTAGTGGCGACATAGCAATGGTTTAAATACCTCATGGTTTGGCTGGGGGGGGGGGGGGCTAGGAACACGCACACTCGCTTATTCATGCAACCATTAACCTGGCTGTAGATTTTGTTCTTACTTTAGAATTCAGAATGTTGTTGTTGTTATTATCCGCGATCGTTGAAATTGTTTACCCTCGTTGTTACATCGATCTGCCTTTGCCTATCTTCACAGACAAGCGTGCTTGTTTTGAGTGAGATATTTTTCTCAATAGTTATTTGAAGACCTTGTTGTAGCTCTATCTCGTAAAGATATTTGGTTAGCGCCTTCTGACGAGACTAGTCTGGTTTATATTGTATAGAGACTCAGATCATTAAAAATCATTAATGTGAAAATTCCATACATACCACATGTATTTCCTAAAAGACCTGGCAAAGCAAGCTATGCCACCTGTGACCGGTATGTTAACCTTACATATTAAATTTAAAATAAGCTTCTCCAATACGCATAGAAAGTCTCACCAAAACACCCTATATAAACCAAGATAAAATCCCTGTATACCGACTCTTCTGAGGTCCTAAACCCACTCTTAACTAGCTCCCTTTCATTTTCCCTCATTGTGATTGAGTATCGTGTTAATTTACTGCAGTTTTAGTGTGATTCCACTATATTGACTGGCTACTTAAACATCGAGTAACCATAGTGTAGCGAACTGATGGTTGACGCAAACGCTTCTCAAGGACGTCATCTTTCAGACGGCGATTGATCTACTAATTAATCTCATTGGATTTCTACCAGAAGAAGAAATTTTAAAAATCAGCTTCCATTTTTGAATGAAATTTTCAGTCATTGACCACACCAGACAACTTATGTGGAAACAATGAAAATTCATTAAATTAAAAAACATACATCGCAATAATTTTACTTGGTTCGAAATTGCAAATAAAAACACTACCATGAAGGAAGCGTTAATTCCCATTAATTAATTGACCTCGCTGGTCACGTTAGTCCATCCGCATTAAGCAGATACATCAATCTACGCACGTCAAATTAGACGTATATAGGTCAAAAAAGGATGCCCATATTCTGACGTTCCGAGATATACCACCTGCGACAACACAGATATTAGGAGATACTTCTGCTGTGTCCTCTCCTACATATTCTCAATATACGAATATTATTTTACCTAGAGAATATGACAGCAGTAGTTGCATGACCAGAATACGCATTGAGGTCTTCTTTTTTGGGCTGCCCTCGAACAAGGTTGAACTGCGTGATTGAAGTCGAGCTACGCTTTTGTAATCACTCATCGTCAGGCAAGCGTTGTTTAATCAGTAAATTTTTTTAATGCCTGAACGTTTACATATATGGTATAACAATCGAAAGCTGAATATAATAATGCTAATACTAATAATAATGATGAATGTTGATGATAATGACATTTTAATAATAATGATAATAATATTGATGTATTTCTAAGTCTCTTCTACAGGCTGCTCTAAATTCGTCCTTTGTTTACTGTACTTTGCCTATCGGAACTTCTACGCACGCATACACAATCTCTCGGCGAGTCACACTTCAGTCCATTCATCTCATGATGGTAATATTTATAACATGGCGAAATGGCATATGTATTATATACGTGTATATATAACGTTTCTTCTGCCACATATATTGTCCACGAATCTAGAGTTGGATATTTAAGCTTTCTACGCTGATATTTTTCTTCCGTAACGTTAATGCTGCGGATAGCTTATCCTGGTTACTCACTAGCATTATTATCAATTATTAATCAGCCTTATCATTTATCAGCCAATCATTGGCATTATAAGCAAATTCATAATCGTCACCTTCACATACTTTCAAACATCTAGCACTTGAGTCTGAGTCAAACGCACAGCTCAGTACGCCTAGTATAATTATTACATAATTATATGATTAATATCTTATTACTGTATATATATATTAAGTTATGAAATGGCGACATAGTCCTAAAACTCTTCTGAGTAAAGTGGTTATAGATATATGCCATTTACCTTCTTATAAGCTGCTACCGTTTTCTACTTCCATATATACACACATATATATTTTTTTCACTACTTGTAAGACACTCGACATTTGTTCATAAACAGGGTAATATAAACAGAAAAAAAAAAGATAAGGAATAAAAGAATATTCACCATTGGTGACTATTCGAGAAGTGTATTCTATCTCGCTCAGTGATGACTGGCATCTAAATAACATACTGACTTATTTTTAAGATCACATCTGAATAATTAATGAGCTGTTTACTAGCAACAATGATGATAATAATAAATGTATACACTTGAAGGTTAACTAGGTTATTTTCTTAGGGAAGGTTCGCCTATGCCCAGCAATTTAGTAGTAGCTTTATTTTATTTTCGGTATTAGTTTTCGACGGCTTAGTTCCAGACAAAGTGCAGCCTTCTTGATGAGGGCTAGAAGCAAAAGTTTTTCAGTACAGCAAACAACGGACGTGTTGGCCATGTTGTCAGCGTCCTCTTACAGAACTTATTTCTCCTTGTCGTATGTAGTCGGGGCCATAAGCCATTGCAAGATCGTCGCTTCAGTCACGACAGTGGGGCAAGAAATGGAAATAACATTTACACTCACAAGCATCTGGTAGCACAAGTGAGCGGCCAAAAATTCTTCCCGCTAAATTTGCAAAACGCGTTTATTGCTATCGTCCTTATCTTATTTGTAATTAGAACAAGGTAGAGCGCTTAATTGTTTATTTTCGCCACCCCTCTCCCCTTTGGCCTTTTGCATCTTTTTCAATCACTTTTTAGGAAAAAGTTTGAATTGAACTATCGCTCGAAAATTTGAAAGGAAAATAATGTAAATACGATTCAGCACTAACCCAACATAATAGGCTGCATATTTTCACTTTCCTCGCATACGACATTGGTCTATAATAAGATCGCCAATGCAATGCAGAGCCACAACAACTGCGTGTTCCGTCGTAAACGTGCTGTAAACTAAAAATGAGTGGTCTCCACTAACCAAATTAATTCATTGACCGGAGAAAATGACCAGTTCTGGTTCATTAACAACACTTAATCTTCCTTCGCTCGTACGATGTTATGAATAATGTCGTTATGGCAAAGAAAGCAGCTATTTTTTCCCAGTACTAGTTCAAAAATAGCTCGAAAAACAGAATTTAGGAAAGATCGTACTGACACAGACTGTAGCGGCAACGACACGTTCGTGTTTGCTAGCTCCGTCATACTCCATATTCTCCAGGCCTGTTGTTCTAGCCTAGTATACATGAGTTCTACTTGTTCTAAAATATACCCGGTTGTTCATTCCCCCAGTTGTGTTTTGCCCCTGTGTCTGTTCGAAGTATCATAGCATTCTAGCTACGTCATCATTGCTACCGACATGGTCGTTATCATCATCACCATGTTAGCTTACATATGTGATTGTATTACCTAAGAGAATAATAAAGATATTATTTGTTTTATTTGCGCAGCTGCTATTCGCTAGCATGATCGTGGGTCGCAACATGTTTTTTGCTTTTGTATCCAACTGCTGGGGAAAAGGGGCTGAGTGCCATTCTTGCTCCTGGATCTGTCTAGGATTTGCTTGGCTGAGCCGGAGTTGTCGCCGTTTGGAACATAATTAGTCGAAAGTTAATCACCTAAAAACAACGAACGTAACAGAAAAGGAACAATTATGGAAATAGATTGCGGGACCACGCATAATACATGGTTAGCTTTGCGAGTGTATACATGAGGCCGAAATCGAATGGGCACATGAGTAATGAATAAATTATTATTAAAAAAATTTAGAAAATGAAAAAAATTAGAAGCAAGAGAATGCTTAACAAGTCACTTGCCTTCGACGACAAAAGGCGATTACACTCGTGTGAGTCTTTAACTAATAACGGCTGGATTGGCGACTCGATAGAGTTCTCCGAGAACTCGTGTTGATATACGTGGGGCTCCAACTGTACGTCGCCGAACGGGCCTGGTAACACTAGGTAGTGAATTGTCATCGGACTGTAAGAAAAACGTGCATTCGATTAGACTGCATGGATACTCTGCTACTTGAATAAACAGCGCAGATTTCAACATTGTCTATCAGCTACGCAAGCCCATTTCATGTATTTATTACATGCTAGCATCGTAAATAGCGATTATGGGAAATTGTTCGAATTGCAGTGCTCTGAATATGTTTTTTTTTCAAATACTAGTAGTAGTATTGTTTGTAGTAATTTTGTTAAATTGCCTAGCTTCATGTAACGGAAAACAAGCTTTTTAAGCTTAAGGATCCTATAGTGTTTTGAACTTAATAGGTTCTATACATACCTTGGTAACTTGCCCTTAAGTACAAGCTGGTAACTAAGATGACGCTCGGTAGATAGCTGAGGATCTTTCTGATTGTTATTCACAAACGCTTTGCACGCCCACTGTAGCCCGAACGATGAGAAGCGATGAGTCTCATAATAAAGTTTAGTGATGTACTCGTCGGTACGGTATGGCTTAAATTGCAGATCTGAAATGCAGATGGTATCATGATAACAGCAATAACGTTAGATGAGGAACGGATAGAATACTCCGCCAAACGGGTCTGACAATGTTTTATACAAACTTGTACGATCAATTTCCTTTTCTTTTTTTAGTCTAAGGCGTTTATGAGTTACTTGAACGTATTTAATAGCTATAAAAACAAATACATAAGAATATTGGTCAGCAACGATTAGCTTCACCGCAGACACTTCTGCGTGTTAGCGTATACAGTTACTGAAAACACTTAATAAAGGTAGATATTATATATATATATATAAGAACATCTTCACTCACCATTGAAAATAAGCTTCTCAAGGCTGAGCAACTCGAAGAGTGTGGAGCTTGTGCGTAGCTGTTGCGCTTCTTTATCGTCCATCCGTTGAAGAGCAGCCAGCACCTGGACATTACAATGATATATTAAATCGAGTCGATATGAATTATTAAAGGGTTTCACTCTCCACATAATTGGACAATAAAAATTGACCATAATTTACCAAAGCAAGCAGATTAATTAATTACATAATATAATACAGATTTTATGTGGTTTATTCTATTACCATTTTCTAGTTTAACTCACAGTGAACGTTATGTGCTTCATATCGTCCCACTTAATCTCCGTACTCCACCTAGTACTTCTAATAGACGGGATAATTTAACCAGACACGATTCACATATATTTATTACGTTTATTGATTCGCTGAAAACAACTGACTGACCTCTCGCCCGCTTTTGTTGGGATGAGTACAGGCATTTCTGTGACGTTCCAGTTCATGGTATGGCCCAAGCCATTGGCAGCCGATTTTCGCATAATCGCATGACACTTTCCTATTACAGTGCACAGTAAAATTATATTACTACGAAAATTGATCCAGGGCATATTTATTGCCACGTAATGATACATCATTCGCACATCAGCCTTCAAGTGAATATAACAGCAAATAAACAAGATGAACAAAACATTTTTTTCTTCAGAAATAAATGGAAATATTATAGAAATGAGCGGAACGCATCGCGCTAGATAGATAGCAACTTGTTTCTTTTACAAGTAACATAGAGAACCGGGACTTCAAATGTGTTACTTAGAACCCACAAAAAACGCTACGACATCCTACGCAGAACACCTGTAAGAACCATAAACCTATTGAAGTATTAAGGGACAATAAGCGTCTATTCAGCTAGTCTCGGGTGCAACAGGACTGCTCCGGCTGCAATGATTTCTATAGGATTCACACAGTAAATCGAAATGAGCTAGTGTCGCTTGTGATTCAAAAATTCAATACCAATAACTACTAACCAACCCAATGTACATAAACAAGATAAGAAAGCTAGCAGTAGGGTTTTCGAGTTGTTGAATATAAAAAAATATTGGATTAAATGAAGCATCGTGACGTTAAAAACCACTCAAGCACTGATGACCATAGCGGAACAATGGAATAATATGGTGTCTACTATTAAGCATCGTAGGCCTCTCTAAATTATCGGCAAAATTAGTTCGGACTACTACTATTTCAAAACAATACACATGCGAAAATTGTCTGTATCTGTCGACATTTAGAGGCTTAGTGTTAATAGGCAGTAAAGACGATAAGTATTATTACACATAGCATAAGAACGGCGAATGGAGCCTTTCTGTGTCGTGGTGCTCTTTTTTCTACATATTGTGGGTTTCTGAAACGTGATGCAACCGTGACGAAAATATATCAATGGGAGGCTTTACATAGAGCGAAATTGCAAAAAAAAGTAACGCAGCATTACCATTACATGCAAACATCAATAAGCACAAACATAATCCTAAACAACGGAGAGTCGTGTTGGTTTCCAAAATTTTTTTGGTGGTTACTTATTGAATTCGAAATAACTCCGGCGCCATTTACACACTGTCTGTATATGATATAGCTACCTCCACAGCATTTTTTGTCAGCTTCTTTGACTTTTCTGAGGGGGTAAAACACCTTTACCAGAGCCGAACGAATCGAAATACCTGCTCAGGCTAAAGAGAAATTCTGCTTTCTCTGTATACGGTGTATAGAACACTAAGCTAGTCTTTTCTTTATATTGGTAATTCTTTGTTAATATTACTGGAAAATCTGGAGGTGCTAAACCGCTCCGATTGGTATGCTCCCTGTGATATTAGTAGCAAAATTGTTACAGCTATAAATTTGACGTTCTGCGTCTGTGCCATCTATATGAACACAACGAAAAGAAGACAAATCTATTTTTTTTTTCAAAACATACATCTGACGCAACCCAGTCAATTACCCGTCAAGTAATATTTGAATCAGTTCCGAGCTGAGACCCAGGCATACGGGATCCAGGATCTAGTGAGCAAGGACCGCACTGTGCCAAAGGATTACCTTATTAACAGTGCAATCTAATCTACCTAATGCAGTAGCTTTTAACCTCCTTTTCTGAAAAATCTATTGTCGTTACTAACCTCTCATCGCAGAGACGACTTTCATGTTGAGCAATTTCGCTCCGCGGCAGCTGCTGCGCACAAAATTGACACTCAGCGGGCAGTTCGCATACGGCTTTTTCGACTGCCAAGTTGCGCGAACACAGTTCTCTGTACGAAATCAAAGAAGCAGTTTTTTTCGTTGATGAATTTTCTGTGAGGATTTACCGCAAGGTAAAAAGAAAAGCTAAATCAGCAGTTAAAAGCATTCTAATATTGCTCCCATAATTCATTCTAATAATGCAACATACTAATAATATATAATAAATATTGATGGCGGCATTTGTACATCGGGCAACGTGATGCAAAAGTCGCCGTACCTACTTACTGCTATAAAGGCCGTATCGTTAATACCATATAAATGCCATGTGTACAAACCTCTCTGTTTTCGGAACTTATTGTAGTCTCGAAAAAAACAATTACACGACTCCGGAGAGCTAACAAAAAAGTAACTTCTATATTACACTGTAACGTTTGAAAGTACAATTTATCAATAAAACAACATTAGGTAGAGCATAGACGAGGACAATTCGAAACTTTGCGATTGGAGAGAGATTTGTTCACTCAACGGTTCATCTTTTACTCGACGGTCAAAATCGAATTGCAACACTCCGGAGGCTTACACATAACCTATGTGAAGCTAACAATACAACGACCAGTTGCAGCAACTGTCAGTACGAGCGGATCATGCCGGTGCTCTTAACTGTAGTGCTATCAGTACCTCTACAGTAAAATTATAGATCACCAGGTAGTCGAATCACTGAAACCCTATGGTTCTTTTCAGCCAGGTAGAGAACCCAACATCACCGGGATAAATGCTGGTAGCAAAACCAACGTTAGACTTTTATTGGAAGCAAGTCCATGATGCTATACCTAAAATGGCTTCATCGACTTGCTGACATAGAAAGAGTACCAAGAAACAAAAATGCTGCTAGAAATAGCAGTAATAATAATGATAAGCATACTTGACCTTACAATGTAGAAAATGCACGAGGTACTACGGATTAGAAACAAAAAAAACGTAATGCTTCGTACGGTGTTTTCTTTGTTCGGATCTTATATAGGGTGGGGCAAAAGTTTAGTGACAGTTCAGAAAAAGCTATTTGATAACATTTTTTAATTTAAGTCGTGCTACACTTTACTTGGTTGCTACTTGAACAGATCTAAAATTCGAATCAGGGAACTTTTGCCTCATCCTGTATCAAATGATGATGCAGACATATTGTTTGGCTTATTCATAATTTGTTTAACAGAACAATCAATGATAATATGTGGTTTGCTTATGCCTTTAGCTACCTCGAGATTATGGTACGGCAGTTTGGGCAGGTAGCTGGGCTTTCGTCTCGGAGGCGGGCGTCTGCGAGGAGATGAGTAAAACAACCGGCGCACATCAGGTGCCCATTCGAACACTGTAATTCAGGGACATAGTAATAAATAAGCACAAAATAACAAAATAGAACAATCAAGTTAGAGCTGGCAATACCATGCGTGTACCTCTCTCTCTCTCTCTCTATATATATATATATATATATATATATATATATATATATATATATA